TTTATTAGGACTATGGAAAGAAACTCTGATGTCGGTTTTATTAAATCGCTTAAACTTTAAATAACAAATCAAAGGACTCTTTCTATACAAAACAAATAATAATAAGTAACGGGCAAAGTAAGAGTCGACACATTTCTTTGAAATTAACAAAATAATATATTACGATTAATAGAGGCAAAATTACATAAAGCAAAAATAAAATCAAAATTAAGAAAATAATTACAAGTTATAAGTTTCGGCTATCGAATTGAACCCTCTTCAGAAATTAACATAACGAAAAAATCGTAGAATAAAATCAATTATCGCAAATGATCGCATATTCAAAACATTCACAGTTCGGGTGAGTGTTGATGTAGATGTACAGTTCGACATTATTTCCGTACGATTAAACAGTCAAATGTATTAAAAATATCTTGGCAAAGGTCTAATTGATAAAAAAGATAAATTAAAAACTTACCACAAAAAGATCTACGCGTAAATAAATTAACATACCGGAAATCTAATAAAAAATAATAAAAACTCACCAGAAATAATGTATAAAAAAATTCAAACTAGCGTGTCCAAAAAGGAATAAAAAACTTTTGGAATATGTACAGAAAGAAGGAACGCAGATGTGTAAGACAGACATTACGTGTCGATTATTATGTACGTTCAGTAGTGCGGATCAACACAGACTGAGAGAGGAGACGGACTGTTAGTATCAGAAAGTCAAACTTTATTTATGATGGGAATATAAGCCATGTGGAGGCCATCGGTGTCAGTTTGTAAATGGAGACTATTCTTTTGCTTCTTGATATTAAGGATCTCGGAAACCAAACGTCTCTGATAGCAAGGTTCTTCGTCTAAAATTACGACTTCATTCCATTGGAATTCGTGATCAAGCTGTCTCCTATGCTCCGTTATGACAGAACAGCCAAAAGTATTGTATCTAATGTGATTGCAATGTTCAGCAATCCTAGTTTTTAATTTCCTGCTGGTCTGTCCAACGTATGACGCATCACAATTATTACACGAAATCTTGTAGACCACATTGCTCTTTGATGTGGACAAATATCTTTCTGTATTTTAATGTATTTGCTCAATTTATTGGGACTACGGAAAGATACCCTGATGTGGTTTTTATTGAAACGTTTGAACTTTTCCGTGTGGAAAGGGATAAATAGTACCGTAAGCCAAGAAACAGATTCATTCGTCCCGACATTGTCAACCAAAACTCTATGTGTTATGTGTCTATTTCTAATTAAATTTTTTATACGTTGATTGACTGTGTCAAAAATGAAGATCAGTGGATAGTCTCATTGTCTAAAATGTTGATAATAAACCTCATCAATTCTGTGTATGAAACCTAAAGTCAGAAAGTAAAAAAGCTCTGTCAACTAGCGAAAAAATTGTACCTTTTTTCTGTGCAATTGGGTGATTCGAGTTAAAATTTAAAAATATCCCTGAAAAAGTAGGCTTACGATACCAATCGAAAATAAAACGATTCTTATAGATAGATATAGTGATGTCAAGAATATTCATTTTATCTCCCCCCACTTCTGTAGTGAATTGGAGACACGGATGAAATGAATTGAATTGTTGTAGTAAAATGTTTATTTTAGAGGACGAAACCGTGGTATAAATGTCATCGATATATCTATAATAAAATAAAATATCCAAATTTAACGACATCAAGGACACTGTCTCTAATCTCCTCATTACTAGGTCCGCAATTATAGGTGATAAAGGAGAGCCCATGGGGAGGAGGGGGTATATCATAGCACAATCGTTCGTTTAAAGAGTAATAAAATGCAAGACACTTATTTCTAAATGACATCAAGTATCGGAGATAAATTTAGAAATTTAAATAATTGAGAATGCAAATATTGATGTACTTAGCGTCACTAATCAAAATCTAAGAGAAACGTATTAATAAGCATAAGAATAAAGATTAATAAAATGTGAGTATTATAAAATAAATGTTTAGTAAGTTTAATCTGGCTTTACAAAGAAACATAAATATTATTATAATGACAGCGTAAGAAATAATAGCACGAATATGACCAAAATGTCATAAATACAAGTAAAATATCTGTTATGTCCAAAACCTTAAAATGAGGTTAAAGAGATAAGAAAGGGAAATGGAGAGGGTGTGGAAGGATGGCTAGACTCAATCTCACAGGTATACGCAGAGAGGCGAACCCCTGTGAGTCGTACGCACCCTTTTCGGTCCCGGAATGCGGGTCAACGTCTCGAAAGGACGCTATGATGCCTGTTCCTGAGGGACGGTGCGAACGTCGGTCCTACTTTTTGGGTCAAGAAACTTAATCCTTTTGGGACCCGGGACTGGGCCTTGTGCGATCTTAAGAATTAGAGGGAGGAATGAAGCGAGGGGTAAAAAAAAGGGTGAAAAGCCTGGGATTTTTAATTACAATTAATTAACATTTATTTAATTTATGGATACAGACGTTACTAGATTACAATTACATAACTATCTTTCGGAAGTATTGTGTGTGTGTATGTGTGTGTGTGTGTGTGTGTGTGTGCGTGCGTGCGTGTGTGCGTGCGTGTGTGTGTGTGTGTGTGTGTGTGTGTGTGTGTGTGTGTGTGTTCGCGCGCGTGTTTGAGGAGGGCGGGTGTACGTTCGGAAGGAATAACAAACTTACTTTTGATCCACGGGATCCCGGATTAATGTTACCTGGCTAGCAGGGCCGCTGTCCACGCAAGAGCCCCAAGAAGGTGGTCCAATGATTGGTGGCATGATGACACGGAAAATGTACTGGCGTGACGCGAACTGACTCTCTTGCAGTTGATGCGGATCGATTATTCTGACTATGCTGAGTACTCAGACTGCATCTCTTGCAACCAACGCGGATCGCGGACTATCCTGACTATTCCAAGTACTCCGACTAACTCTTTTGCAACTGAAGCGTATCGAATATCCCATCTATTCTGCGTACTCGGACTGACTCTGTGCTTCCACGGGGCTTCTATTTATATCTCGAAAAAAATGGGGCGTAGTACCCTTTATCTGGGATGCAATAGTTGCAACGTCTCGCGTGATTTACGATGTTTATAACGTCCTGCCGTTGTTGATCTAAAGTGCATCGTTTAAGGATTTTTAGAAGAAATGATTTATGTTTTTCTCTAAAAGCCAAGATTGCTCCAGAGGAATTTGTTATTCTCGCGGAAAATGTGATTAGGTAAACAGGCGATTATTGTCCACAAGTACTTTTACGTACCGGGCAACCATTATCAGTCGCGAGTCCGATTTTAGATAACGTTACCGTGGAAAGTTATCTATGCGTTTTACGATTTTTTAAAACGCGACGTAGCACTTGTTTTCCTAAGGTGAAATTGTCATTCCGACGATAAGACTTAATTTTTGTTATAACGTGGTTTCGATACATTTACGCATTCTTGTCCGCATTAAAATTGTTATTCCTTCCTGGTTGATTAGCGTTTTACGAACTTCGCGGAGTCCGCTCAGTCACTCTCTTTAGACCCATTAAACCGTTATCAGCGCGCTCCACTCGAATCTCATAGGCGCTGCCCGGAGCCGCGACGTGCGGCCAAATCTTTCGAAAGAAAGAATCGAAACGTCTATAGGATGTAACATATCATTAGTCATGTTAACAACATTATCCGATCCATTAAGCGAAGTAGCACAGCAATTCGTGGTGGTGTATGCCAACAAAACAACAAGTTGTAATGAATGCTTAAAGATTCTTGTAAATACTCATCCGTGAATATTCATCCAGTACGTCCGAATTTAACTAGGGAGGAAATTTAACTTAACTCCCATGCATTTTTCCAATGCAAGAAATGTATAAAAGTTAAAGCATGCCAGTAATGATGTCCCAGTGGTGGAGGAATTCTCAAGATCATTAAAGCTATTGGCAACAGAACTTACCGGCCGTTATCCAGCGTAAAGTAATGTTGCTTGTAATGCAACTTTCCAGCGTAAAGCAACTTTCCTTGTAACGCAATTTTCCTTATAACGCAACTTGTAACGCAACTTTAAAAGGAACTTTCCAGCATACGTGCACGCACCGATAACTGAAAAGAATATAGCCGAAAACTGAGAACAATAGGCCAACAGAACGCCGTGCACGGAGACAAGGACGAATGAGGGTAATTGCAACGGAAAACGCTGTACAAATGCTGAACAACACCGCCAAAGCGCCAAGTGCCATCGCCAATCACGCGTACACGCGTGTGCGCGAACTCGCGCTCCATGCGCGAACTTTAAGTCAAAGCAAACTCGTAACAATACGTACCATCCTAACTATTATCTAGCTATTAACTAATAATTGTATTTCACTCCTCTATTCTAATTTTTATTATCCAATTATCAATATATATATTGACTTTTCGTTCAGACATGTGGATATAATAATTAACACCAAAAAAACGTAAATTTACATTTAATTACACATAATATAAATGTATTAAAATGTCAATAACATTAAATAATATACGAGGATACGTCAATAAGTTCTTAGAAAATCTGTCAGAGGACACTCGCAGTGTCATGTCACATTACTTTTTGACAAGTAGCATCTTTCAGCTGATTACTGTCTAATTTTAAGCGGAAATTTCATCGCGTGGATTTATTTCTAGAGACGATTAAAGCGAACAACCTTTGTATTTTTTGCAAAATGGAAAAAAACGAGTTTCGTGCAGTGATCAAACATATATATGAAAGGTTTAACGCCGAAAGTAATCAAAGCCGAGTTGGATAATGTTCATAGCACATTTGCACCAGCGACTGTATACAATTGAGTGAATGAATTTAAACGTGATCGTACATCCACATGTAATACACCTCGTTCGAGACGTCCAATTGAGGCTGCTACGCCAGAAATCATCGATAAAGTCCACGATATTGTTTTGACTGATCGACGAGTGAAAGTGCGCGAACTTATTGAGGCCATCAGCCGGAACATTATCATATATAAGTCCAGGATATGGTGGTAGGGCGTCTGATAAATTCATTTTTATGAAATCTGGCCTATTAGAAAATGACTGGTAGTGAAGACACGATTATAGTGGACATGGAATTTCTAATTGAATATGAATGTGCGTCACATAATATTGAACTTATTCAGCCATCATTTTTACGAGCTAAGAAACAGTTGTTGCACGAAGAGGCTGAACAAAGTAGGAATGTAGCTGCAGCGAGGGTTCACATTGAACGAGTTAACCAAAGAATCAAAATCTTTAAATTTTTTTAAAATCGTTTTCCATAGAATTTGATTGCTTATGCGGGTAATATATTTATTATTGCATGTGCTTTAGTTAATATATCTAGTCCAATCCTATTTTCTGATAAATTTCACATGGCATATCACATGGCACAGTGATTTCAATTTTGCACGAATAATTGGGTATGAAAAAGCTATCGGCAAGATAGCATATTAACGCATTTTTATTTTCAAGTATTTCGAAACGTTACTAAGGTACACTTTAGCATTTAATTACACCTACTTCTTTATTTTTCTTAAACTTAAACATATTATCACACGAATATATGTATTTTTGACTGCTGTTTGCTATTCAACATTTTATTTGACTGTACGAGTATATATACGTATTTTAAGTTATGCAAATAATAGCATGGCATTTTGCTAATAGTAGCCCTTTGTGCTTATTAATTATATCGCGACCTCTTTTTTAAGATTTTCATATCACATAATAATTATTTGAAAATTGATTGCAGCTTTATTATTTGTTAATCTATAGTTTATATTACATATACTTTTAGTACTTAGATTTATATTTTATATATGTTTTTAGTACTTAGATTTTTAGTATTGAGCAGCTATGCAGAAGTTATGTGTACGTATATATATTTTATTATTATTATTATTAGGCGTTAGGAACTCGAAAGCTCATTGCCGCAAATACCAAATCCCGCCACTGTTCCCGTCCTTGAGCAAGATCCCTCCATTTGTGACCCTCGTACCCCATTTCGTTAAGGTCCTTTCCATTCTAATATTATCTTCCCATCTACGTCTTGGTCTACCCAATGGTCTTTTCCCATCCGGTTTACCCCCCAATTAGTATTTTATACGCAGTTCGATTCTCATCCATACGCGCCGCGTGACCTGCCCATCTTAATCGATGCGATTTTATGACATTAATAATATCCGGACTATTATATAATTGATGTAATTCTGCGTTGTGTAATTTTCTCCATTCGCCCGTTTCCTCATCGCGTTTTGCCCCGATGATTTTTCGAAGTACTTTATTTTCGAAAGCCCTAAATCTTTTCTCGTCTTGTAATGTAAGTGACCACGCTTCGCTGCCATAAAGGACTACCGGTAAAATAATCGTTCTGTAAATTCTAATTTTTAAGCGCCTAGACAATATCCGCGAACCGAGTAGTTTCTTAACCGAATAGAAGCACGCATTCCCCAAATTAATTCTTCTCTTGAGCTCTTCTCTTATTTCATTAGTTTGGTTTAAAATCGATCCTAAATACTTAAAATTGCTAACCCGTTCAAAAATTTTATCACAGACGACCAGGTTTCCGTTATTATGAATATTCTGAATTCTATCAGTGACCATATATTTAGTTTTTTCAACGTTTATTTGCAGCCCCAGTTCTTTCGTTTTATCTAATAGAATTTTAGCGTTATTTATTAGTGTTTCTTTATTATCTCCCAACAAAGCAATATCGTCCGCATATGTTAATATTTGTGTTGTACCGTTCAACTGCAAACCATCATTACTCTTCTGCATTTCTTTAATAGCATATTCCAATACTAGATTAAACAGAAGAGGTGACAATGCATCCCCCTGCTTTAATCCGCTATGAATATTAAAAGTTTCCGACATTTGATTACCTATTCTTACTCTACCTCTGGTATCTTTTAAACAAACTTGGACTAAGTTAGCCAATTTTTTGGGTATCCCCCACCGAGTTAAAATTTCATACATTTTCTCCCGTTTTATCGAATCATACGCTTTTTTAAAATCAATGTAAAGTTGATGTACCGATTGGTCGAATTCCCATTTTTTCTCCAAGATTTGCCGAATAGTAAAGATTTGGTCCGCAGTCGATCTATTTCTCCTAAAGCCGCATTGATGATCTCCAATTATCTCATCTGCATATGGTACAAGCCTCATTAATAAAATATTCGACAGAATTTTATAGCATGTAGGTAAAAGTGAGATACCCCGGTAATTATTACAACTCATTTTGTCCCCCTTTTTGAAAATCGGGATTATAATTGAATCTTTCCATTGTTCCGGCAATGCTTCTTTATTCCATATTAAGATAATTAATTTCTGAATTTCTTCTATCAATCTACTTCCCCCCCATTTAATCAGTTCCGCCGGAATCAAGTCATTACCCGGTGCTTTGTGATTTTTTAATTTTTTAATCGCGCTTTCTACTTCTGAAATTGTCGGTTCGTTAATCCTAGGTTCAGCCGTGTGATACTCAAAATTCTCTATTTCCCGGTCGTTTTCAGATTCGACATTCAATAACCGATCAAAATAATTTTTCCATGTGTTTAAAACTGCCGTTGTATCCGTAACTAAATTATCGTTCTCATCTTTCACCATTTCCGTCCTAGCTTGGAATCCCTTTCTAAAATTATTTATCCCCATGTACGTGCCTCGTACGTTACTGCTTTTACAATTTTCATCTATTTTTTCAATTTTACGTTTTAAGTATTGACGCTTCTTAATTTTAAACATATTATGAGCCTCTTGCCTAATCTTAAGAAACTGATCCCGAGTTTCCTTGCTTATTCAATTTATTCGCAGCTAACCTCTATCCTCAACCGAGATAGCGAGGCTTTTCCTCTATCCGCAACCCGAGGACGCGCTGTGTCGTGGTGATTGGGACCCACCCACCCCGGGGATCACTACTGCAACTAGTTTTCCTTCCCCGAGACTAACAGTTGTTATGCTAACACAGACGTATATATATTTATTTGCATATATTCTAAAATATTTTTTGTTAATTTTGTAATCAAACACTGTGTTTTTTTTCATTAATGCAATGTCACTATATTTTTATAAATAATATTTTATATAATAAATGTTTGGTAACTTTAGTTTAGAATCGATTGAACAACACTTTGAAGAACGTAATCGTTAAGTTTTAAATTTTAATTTTAATTATTAATCAAGTTATTTTATAAAATGTAAATGGGGGCCGTAATATCACGATCTCTTCTCATTCATATCAGACTGTTTATACAAAAAAAAGATAAATATCCTATTTATAAAAGATTACCTTCAATGGCCTTGACCATGATATATATTGTCATGATCTCGAGTAACCTTTAGAAGATTTCAGCCTCGTTATTTGTTGAAAATTATTTACAAATGAAATTGACAATATAAATGTGTGTTTAACTGTAATATAATTTAAATTGTAACTATTACAAATAACTCAATATGAGTTTCTTTTTACATGAAACGGGATCTACATCCCTTTGTTTAGAAGCGTCCAACTATCTATGTGAAGCTAGATTTATTCCATCTCCCCCCCCCCCCTCCCCTGGTCTGTGAAATGACTTTTCGTGAAAAGGAAGTTTTATTCTACCTCACACCTGCCAAGAAGCGGCAGATTTTCCAGGCGAAGCAAAGTTCACTCCCTTCTGCTTAGAAACATACGACTTTTCACGCGAAGCGTGAAACCCCACCCCCTAGGGCCATTCAACTTTCTAGGTAGAAGGGTGTGATGCATAGATCTCGTTTCGCGTAGAAAATCTGAGATGAGGAGTGAGGAAGGAGGGGTGGGATAGACTAGCCTTCATTTCACACGAAAAATTGTACGTATCATAATCCTTCATATCATTTGATTTATAGAGATAATTTTTTACATTTCATGATTATAACTTTTAAATAAACAATGAGCGCCTGCTAAATCCTTTTGAAGATCAATAGTAATGCTGTGGGAATTCTAACTCGGGAACTCCAAGGGGAATGCGGGGCGCGGGGTATTCTTCGGAGGAGGGGGTATGACGTCATACAGAGTGGCAATAAAACGTTACAGATTTTGTGGACTGCAGTCACGTACAAAACAACAAAAAACATCAAAAAAAGAGGAATATTGTCATAAACAAAAAAACAATACAAAAAACAAATGGTTATAAAACGAAAAATGTTACAAAGACTTCGCTGGTATATGCTCCAACCCTTTTTCGGCCAAGATATGGCATAATTGTAATTTTTCTAGAAACAACATTTATTAATTATTTTAAATAAATACGACTAAGTTTCATAATTAATCGATTGAGTGCCAACATCTGACTCCTATCGAAATCGATGATATTGAAACGCAATGTCTCCCTCCCTTGATAAAAGAGAGATCGTTTATCCTTTTTTTTGGGAGAAGACATAACAATTGAATTGAATGTTTGATGTTTTTGTAATATGTTTCAAGATTAGTAGAAGTAAAGTACGTGTAAATGTAAGTGAAACTCGATAGAATTGTATTTTCATAAATTCTTATGAAGGTAGAAACATGTCTAAGATAAGTACATAAAGATTGATCACGATAGAAATGATTAATATTTCGAGCGTCGACATATGGCTGCTATTAAAAAATAATACTTGTGTTTTTATACGTATATGAAACAAAAGGAATTGAAACACTTTAAGTGAAATCTTGAAGTAAAACTCTAGAATTTTAAAATTTCTTAAGTTTATGACGATATAACTTTGAAGCATTCCTAAAAAAAAATTAGAAAAAACGATATCTACTCCGGTTAAAGAGAAGAGTTACAGTATGAATTTAGGTCTCGAAGTGTAAAGTCTAGAAGCAAACTTTCGTAAAGTCATATAGTATACTGATGGAAAATATGCATATTGTTCGTAATATACCAGAAGAAGACCTGATGGATATCATCGACGAAGTATTCGAAGATGCGAATTTTGAGGCAGTAATGGATAATGATGAGGACGCATTATCAGAAGATGACGGTTATAATAGTGATCAGAGTGAGGATCAGAGTGAAGATATTAAGAACAAAACATATCCTGAGGAAGTAATGGCAATGAACGTGCTAATGAAACAGTGCGTGATATACTTTTATTATACAACCGGTGGTTCGCCAATTTTGTGCACATTGTGTATGACGAGATTAACGAAACATTAAACACATGTACAACATTCGTAGGCATGTTACTGATCGCATGCAGCTATAGAAGGCAAACACTGTTCTGCAGAAATCCGTGTTATACAATATTTTCATGTAATATGTGCCCTATTTGTACAAATGAAAAAGACTTGAACTGGACAAGTACAGGATGCATTAGGTTTGAGGACACTCACATATGTGCCTGCCAAATTTTGGCAGCAAGTTTTTTTCTTTTTTTTCTTTTCAGATCATAAATGGAGAACAATAAGTTGACTCATAAAATGAAAAGACACGCTGTTATCGTTGCTATACACGCAAATCACAGCGATCTTGAAATCTCCGAATTTTTGAAATTCACCCGATCGTTTGTTCATAAAGTTCATCGAGAGTTAGAAGCATCTGATGGCAATGTAGAAAGTGTTGCCAAGCGCAAAAAACATAAGGCACGTTCAGACAGAGTTAGAACATCATATTTTGTGCAGCAAGTCCAGGACATTATTGATGAAGACCTTTCAAAGTCCATAAAGGCCATATCGAGAGACCTTCAAGTTTCTGAGTGCACAATCCATCGCATTGTCCACGAAGATCCTACAATCAGTACAAGTGATGCGCAAAGGTCAGTTTATGTCGGCACAAACAGCGAGTCATCCGGGCACAACGACTTTTAAACAAGTTAAAACATCCTGAAATCCCGGATATGCTCTGGTTTTATTCTGATGAAAAAAATTTTAACCAGGATCAAAAAATAAACCGACAAAGTGATAGGTGGCTATGTGCGAATCCTTCAGATGTTCCTTATGTTATGCACACAAAGTTTTCGGCAACTGTCGTGGTTTTAGGAGTGGTGAGCAATGAAGGACACGTTATGCCACCTCACTTCTTTCCTCAAAAACTTCGGGTGAATGCTGCTGCCTACATTGAGGTTTTGGAAGCAGTTGTGAAACCCTGGAGATAGCATGCGTGATGAGAGACCATATGTATTCCAACAGGACTCTGCTCCTTCACACAAAGCTATGACGACGCAAGATTGGTCCGAGAATCTGCATGATCACATCACCCCAAACATGTGACCCCTAGCTCCCCGGATCTTAATCCTTTGGATTACTATGTATGGGGCGTTGTTGAACGGGAGACCAATAAACATCCCCATAACACGCTTGATTTCCTAAGAGCAGCTATTACCAGAGTAATGACGCATATGGACGAGGATCATTTAATTCGGGCATGCAAACGTTTCCGGCAGAGAATTGAAGCTGTTATTGCCGCTGAAGGCGATTTTATCGATTAACTGTATAGCCTACGAACTTAGTTTGCTGTAAAAATTTCATTAAAATACAATAAATTTTCTAAGAAATATATAAATTTTAGTAAAGTCAATTTGTCCTCAGATACCTGACTCACCCTTATATATAAAACATTGTATAGGCAGTATATATATAGACAGAGTATACAACTTTTTTTTTATTCAATCGTAAGCTTCAGTTACGAACGTTAAAACATGGACAAAATAAAAGACTATATACATACGTCAAAAATCGATCGAACACAAAAGATCCCTTGTCACTATATCCGCCAAGTCCACCACCGTCGAGGAAGAAAGCGAGGTATTGAGAGTCCTGGAGCATCAAAGTCGCCAATGTCATCATTAACGTCGGCAAAATATAAGTCAAACGGTATGTATCTTTTTTGTTTACAAATGCGTTTATGGTAACTAAATAGTATTAATACATTTTATTCTCTGTTAAAGGCAAAACAGTAATCAACAAGTTTTTTTTGTTCTCTTTTTCCAGAAAGCGCTGTTATTGATGCTCAAGTCACCGCTGATCTTAGCCGATGTCCCAACGCCGCTGATGTTCGAGCCATCGATACCTACGTTATTGCTCGATGTCCAATAGCATTTTTTTAATATATTTTTTACTATTACATATAAATTAATGTAATAAATAATAATAATAATAAATTTTTGAATTTTTTAATACCGTGTTTGTTTCTCTTATTTTTTCATGTACCTGATCCATTACAGCGATTCTATATTGTTTTTGATTGTATTATAGCTATTTTCTATTCAGTAATTTTTTATACACATGTACAGTCATAAAAGATTCCTTTTGTACAAAAAAAATAGAAGAGACACGAGCCGCATATTTCAGACCCCTATTTTATATATGTGTGAAGAAATTACACCATAATTTTAGGTTAAAAATTTTTTTATTTATATTTGTTTTACATAATTTTTTTTACTCACAAAAAATTACAGCTAACAATTCGCAGTCGAGGAATTTATTTTTATCAAAGTAATCGCCAGCACATGTTACATTTGGTACATCTTAAGCATCCATTACAGTAAATGCGATATTCGAGAATAGTGCAAATTTTCTATCGACTTTCTCAACGACATCAATCAATTGATCGAATGCTAATTTAATGCATTGATCTAAGTTGAGCATAAACGATATTGTTGATCTAGTCATCATTAAACGTACGTCGGATGATTCCAAGCATACAATTTTAGCATTTTCAATCGTACTGTCATGAATCACACAATCAGCGGTCCAACGCTAATAGAATTACCTTTGTAATGATTCCGAAGACAGTTTTAATATTCCAATGTTGTTCATAGAGTCCTTTCCATGTTTCAATAGATAGTATTAATTCGTTTCCACGATTATCTCTTATCGCAATCTCCACGTAGCTCGATGGGCCAACGTTAATACCAATTTCTAGGAATTTATATCTCCTACGTATCAATGTGTATTTCTTGCTTAGTATACGAACCGCACGATGCATGGGCGCGTTATAAAAAGTAACAAAAACATTAAATCATTAATTAAGTAGTTAATTTAAAAAAATATAAAGTAGAAAATTCTTAAACTTATTTGGCACATCTTTTCGTAAATGATGGAGTTTCATCATTATTCTGAAGTGGAACGTAATAATTTTGTTTGTGTGTATGTATTGCTTTCTACAGCGGAGTACATTGCTGCTACTGTTGTAGCCGCTGCTACTGTTGTTGAACTTTTCATACAAGCGACTAAAAGGACTTCCGGTCGAGGTGAGTTACAGAGAAGACATATTCTGCGCACTTCGTGAGGAAAATTAAAGTTTTCGTAGCTGTAGAGGAATTGCCCTGCGGGGAGTTTTTTGTTATAGGGACGAGAGTCGTTAAACCGAGAGCTAGGCAAAAAAGTAGCTCGCTCCATCAAGAAGCGGGCTAACTGTGGAAAAAAAAGACGGACCAAGGGGAACCTAACCTACAACTGTCATAGCTCCAACCGAGAACATCGCTGATCCAGGTGGCCTGAAAGCCTGTATTGGGTGCATAAGAGAAGGAGTGGACAAAAGGTGACAGGAGTGCATTGGGTGAGCCTTGCATAAGGCGGAAGGTAAAAAGTAATTAGGCTCGGCGCACGTGGCAGAAAAACCGAGGTGCGCAAGTGCGAAGCAAAGGGAAGTGACGGAAGAAAAGAGGGGAAGAGGCGCGGTGAGAGTCGGAGAAGAATAAGCAGGGATAGAACGTCACGAAGCGCGAGCGCGTCTTGGGAGTGGGGAATGAGCGAGAGTTTGGAGAAAGAGAGAGAAGGAACCTTCCTAGCCACGGAAGAGTCTAGTAGTAGCCGAGCGGAAAGGTGGGTACAGTCAGGGGAGGAGTGGGGAACAAGATCGAAGGACGGCGACGACGGTGAACGTCAGAGGCGAAATACGAGTGGAGAGAAGGGAGCGGGGAAGAGAAGAAGACCCACGAAAGCGGAGCTGCTAGGAAGGGAAAGGAGGGATAGCAGTGTAGCGAGCATTCCAAGCTCGTGGTTCTCGAGAAGGGGCAGAGCG